GTGTTATGCGTTATGCAAGAGTCTGTGCTCCCCGCTTAAAGCATAAAGAATGGACTGCGCGATCCGTATCTAATAGCGTTTTTCATTGGCAAAACTAGTGCGCACTCAGTGTACATTAAAGCTGTTGTACACTATTCTAATCTAAATATAAAAATGAGATATCTCGATTGATAAAATTTATTTTATCAAATAGTACAATAAAATGTATCGAATATTTCACGGTTTAATTCGTTTATATATTTTTATTGAACGTATATCTTTACGTCGATTTTTGTACAACGGCTTTAAAGTGCACTGAGTGCGCACTAGTTCTGCCAATGAAAAACGCTAGTAGTGTATCAAATGTGGTCGACAATGACTATTTACACGGCTGACGGCACCCTTAATCGAGTTTAATAACATCCGTAGTTATGAAACTGGCCAATCACAATCATTCCATTCTCCCGACGAAAAGCTATGATTGGCCAATTTCATAACTACGGATGTTATTAAACCCGATTAAGCGTACCGTGTAGCAGAGGTCAATAATGAGAGAGAGGAACTGTGGGAGACGGCCAATCTTCCTCTCATTCTCTCTCCCATTACACCATTGAATGGAAAGAGATAGAAATGACCGTCTGCCACGCATAAACGTATGCATAAAGAAAATTATTCAATCGCATTTCTCCTATAAAGACGCACGTAAAATGTAATTGGATAATTTTCTTTACGCATATGTTTATGCAGCTATGCAAGTTTGTGTGGATATAACCTTAAGACCGCAACACACACTCTTGCATAACGCATAATACATAGTGCATAATGGAATCAACCAATCGAAATTCTTCTTTTCCATGGAATGAAAGGAAAGGAAAGCTTTTGATTAGTTGATTCGCTTATGCACTATGCGTTATGCGTTACGCAAAAGCTTGTGTCTGGGCTCTTATGTTAGGGCCTGCGCACAATAGAGGAACAAGAATTAGATATTAAGATTTCAACCTATCAGAAATCGTGTATTCCGATGTAATCAGTTTCTGATATGTTGAAATCTTAATATCTAATTCCTGTTCCTCTATTGTGCGCAGGCCCTTACCGGTTACAATTTCTTATTGTACCTGCGCCTTAAGCCCATTCTACGTGAAACTTACATTTTGAAATCAATGCTTCACATTGGCTGTCGCAACAAACTTGCGATCGGCTTGCGTCTAATGTAGAATGGACTTTAAGGGTACCGTGTAAATGTAGTCATAGAGAATGGACTGCACGATTCGTGTGTCAAAATGGTCGATAGGGACGATGAGAGAGAGGGACTGTGGCAGGCGGCCAAATTGTGTCTTTTTCTACTCAATGGCGAAATTGTAATGTCCCGAGCCCTGAGCTTAAAAGTTTTGAGACAAGGATGGTGTAAAACAAATAAAAAATTGGAATTATTGTACCAGTAACATAATTTTATTCAAAATACTTTTTATTGACTTTTAAATAAAATAAACCGTCTTTTAAATAACGTCAATCATCATACTACATAAGAGCTTTTTTTCCAGTGTTATTAGTTTCAACATGTTTTTCTGTTAATATTTCTGATGCCGCTTGGTAAATACCTGGTTTTACATCAATTTCAGCATGCCATTTCCTGAGAGTAGCCAGATGTGGAAGTACTGGGAAAGCGTTTCGAACATATTTATATGCTTTTGGTGACATAAAGGAAAGTGTTGATGCAAAAATTCTTAATGAAAGAGGATAAGATGCAACTTTTTTCTTCTTGGACTGAAGTAGAGAAAATAAAGCTTTAGGGATTGATCCCAATTTTTTCTAGAATAAAAAAAATTTATTTACAATTTTGATATTATCTTAGCAATTAAAATACATACATCAATTTTTTTCTGTTATTAACTTTCCATTCTTACTCTGCACTAGTTTCAGGCGAGATTTTAGTATAGATTTACTTATAGCGTTTTTCATTGGCAGAACTAGTGCACACTCAGTGCACATTAAAGCTGTTGTACGCTATTCTAATCTAAATATAAAAATAAGATATCTCAATTGATAAAATGCCCAAAATTTATTTTATCAAATAACACAATAAAATGTATCGAATATTTCACGGTTTAATTCGTTTATATATTTTTATTAAATGTATATCTTTACGTTGATTTTTGTACAACAGCTTTAAAGTGCAATGAGTGCGCACTAGTTCTGCCAATGAAAAACGCTATAAAACTTTATTTTGATACTATGTTACCAATTAAAATACTTACTTGCATCAATTTTTTTTCTGTTATTAACTTTGCATTCTTACTCTGCACTTCTTTCAGGCAAGATTTTAATTTAGATTTACTTAAACTTAATCGCCAGTTTTTCCGTTTTAAAGACAAAATTTCTTTATTTTTAAAAATCATCTTTTTTTTTAAATATTGTAACGGCAAATTAGAGTTTATAGATTCATAAGTAGTCGATCTTTCCAAAAGCCTATTCTTCAAACAAATTTGTTTGTTTGGAATTCCATCTTCAATGACTTCATCAGATCTAAACGTATAAAAACATATCAAACAGATTATATATATATACATATATAAATATATATGTATACTATATTCTCATAATCAGCGGTAAAATAATAAGATACACAATAACCTTTTTATAGCAATGTTCTTAGTAGAACATTCAAGCTCATTAGTTAACGGTTCAGTTCTTTCTTCCTGTACAAGTACAACTGCTGCATATAATGAAAAAAATGTAAGGAAGTATAATCAGAATATAAAATCTTTTTTCATGTTATTGTTTTATTTAATAAATTATTACCTGGTGTTAGGAGATGTAATGACGGAAAACTGCCTTCTTTTATTAATCTCTTTCCATCAACACTATAATGAAAACAGTTTTCTGTAAAATGTAACGAACAAATTGTAGTTCGAGCTCCCAAAACTACGTTATTAATTCCCAGAATATGCTCCCATTTTTTCCTCTGATTTTCATTGGAAGGAAACCTGTAATATTTATTTCATTATATTTATTTTATACTTTTACATCAAAAATCATTTTAAAGCTTTGTAAATGACTATTTAAGCTTTTCACGAATCTAACCTAATATGTACCTACCTATGAAATGATCTTTTAGGTTCTTTATCTCCTCGCCATTTGCACACCCAACAAGTGTACACCATTATATATATTTCTTGTTAATAATTATTTAAAATAAATAATAATAACGTATTTTAATAATTATCGGAATCAATTAAAATTACACAGATATTGTAATAAAAGGGCGATCGATAGCCGTGACACGTTCCTACATGACTAAGGAGGAACCAATCACAATCTTAGAAAAAGAGGGAGATTGGCCGTTTCCCACGGTCCCTCTCTCTCATTATTGTCGACCACATTTGATACACTACTTATAGCGTATTTCACTGGCAGAACCGGTGCGCACTCAGTGCATATTAAAGGCCGCAGCACACACTTTTGCATAACGCATAATGCATAGTGCATAAAGGAATCAACCAATCAATATTCTTCTTTTCCATGGAATGGGAGAAAAGGAAAGATTCTGATTAGTTGATTCGCTTATGCACTATGCTTTATGCGTTATGCAAAAGTGTGTGCTGCGGCCTTAAGAGCCCAGACACAAACTTTTTGATTCGCTTATGCACTATGCATTATGCGTTATGCAAGAGTGTGTGCTGCGGCCTTTAAGCTGTTGTACATTAACCTAATCTGATTGTAAAAGTGAGAGATCTCAGTTAATAAAATACCCAATGTATATTTCATCAAATATCACAATAAAATGTATTAAGGATTTTGTAGTTTGATTTGTTTCTATATTTTTATTAAACGTACATTTCAGCTGGATTCCGCTATTATTGCCAGTACTGAACATCTATAGTGCACGTAACGTATACTATAGATTTTCAGTACTGGCAGTAATATCGGAACACAGCCTTTTATGTCGATTTGTGTACAACAGCTTTAAAGTGCACTGAGTGCACACCAGCTCTACCAGTGTAATACGCTATTAGATACGGATCTCGCAGTGTATTCTCTGTGTACATTCGTTTATGCAGCGGTTAGCGCAGAAGTATTACTTTATCCTTGTTGTTCACCGAGTGTTGAATAAAGATTAAATGATACTGCGCTAACCACTGCATAAACGAATGCACGCTCTATATCTTTGCTTTATCCCCATTCCATCACTGAACTGTGACGGGTTATGGCCATTACAAGTTATGATTTGCATTTGCTGCTTGAAATTTTGTAGCTCCTTTTATTCCTATAAGGTTTCCAACAGCTTAGAAACTATTGCTGGATTCACACTGCATCCGATGTGCGTCGTACGACGCTCTGCAATGGATTTTGCTTCGTATCATAGGAATCCTGTTTTCTGATTGGTTGCAGAGCGTCGTATGACGCAAATCGAATGCAGTGTGAATCCAGCATATAACCTATAACCAAGAAAACTAGAAACAGGAGAGTCAACTCCGTACCAATAGCGTTAAAGCGGATGAGGCAAAAAGTGACAGTGGATAACTTCCCCCACTCTTGCGCTTCATTAGTCCTCTCTGTCACTCTATATAATGCTGGATTCACACTGCATCCGATTTGCGTCGTACAACGCTTTGCAACCAATCAGAAAACAGGATTCCGATGGATTTTGCTTCGTATCATCGGAATTCTGTTTTCTGATTGGTTGAAGTGCGTCGTACGACGCAAATTGGATGCTGTGTGAATCCAACATAAGTCGTTCCTTTTTCAATTCGTGACTGTGCATGTCAACGTACCTTAACCAAATTTTATTTTCAAAATAAACCTTGTTTTCACTTGTCTTTCGACTAAATCTTGAACTGAATATAAAACGTGTAAAAATTTAATCCAATGTGAATTACGATGACCGAGCGAGTGTGTTGTGTTCATAATTGTGACTTCAATCCTGGAGATAAAAAAAATCGTAGAACAGTATTCAAATTTTGTGAGGTACGTATTGATGAAATATAACCTGTAGAAATGTACAAAAATGTGATTTAAAAATATTGTTTGACATTTGTATACATAACAGTTATGTTAAATCTTAATTATTATATTGCAGAAATCTCCATACTTTAAAACCTGGATAAATGCGATTGGACCAAACTTGAAAGATGGAAAGAAAACTCGCAAAAATTATTACATTTGCGAACGACATTTTGATGACAGTAATTTACATCGAAGTCCTATCAATATATTAAAGGATGGAAAGGAGTTGACCCTGTCACGTAGGCGTCCAACATTAAAATCGACAAGTGTCCCATACATTTTTCCAGTAAATATTAAAGTCAGTGTGATCTATGGCTTTGCTGCATATACTTTTTCAGATAATAATTGAGTACTTGATGTAATCAAAAATTTTTTCTTCAGGAATATGCAAATAGAGAAAGAAATGTACATCAATCTTTAAGGCTTGTAGATTCAAATAATCTTGAAAGCTCTTTGATTTCCCGTTTCTCTGACAAAACAAATCACAGCATTATTAACTATCAGTTACCATCTTTACTTTGCGATGAATCCTCACCGCTGCAGCATACACCAATGGAATGCACTTCAGAAAATGTTTTTAACACAACGGTTTTACTAAAGGAGTGGAATGCGATACCTTCTTATCAATCCATGGAGTCATGGAGTGTGACGAAAACAGCATGTGGATTACTTTTCATGCTCTTTGAAAGCACTTCAGAACATTGTAGCAGTACAGTACAGCGTTCTTTACTTGTAAAGAATGACATGACTATTGAGGTATTTTAGGATTTTTATTATATATGTCACAAATTCTTTTGTATATGAATTTATCTGCCTACACTATTGCTCATTTGGCTTGTTTATTTCAGTTACATGCTCATAATCATCCTGTCACTTATCACCTTTTAGAAAAGGTGACGTGCCTACAAGATATTTGCTTTTTATTGCAAAAAATAAATGCATTGAAAATGTGCCAAGAAGAGTCCTGCACCATTGGGTACTTTGAGCACAAACTACATTCACGATCCAATCTTTGTAGAGATTGCCAATCAAAGAACAAAAGAAAAAAAGAAAGAGAAAAAAAACGTGAAAGGAGAGCAGCCGCAAGAAAAGCGAAGGAGATAATTTTCAAGAAAAATCTAAAACAAAAGTACGAACGGATATACAACCAGGTTTGTAGACGTTTATTATTGCCTACAAGCTAAATTTCAGTTTTTGAATTGCATACTTATGCGAGTTGACATATGTTACAGGTGGAGAGGTACAAAGTAGAATTAGAGAATTTAAAAGTACAATGTGCCTTACAAAAAGAGGATTCTCGACGAAGCAATAACAAGCTTATAGTCCAATCCGTACCTGGCAGTTTAATATTGGAGTTTTTCTTTACACGCGAAAACTAGAGTTCTAGATATCAGAGAGGCGACAAGTGCGGTCGATAATCGAAATTATCGATTATCGCCGCCATTTTCTTTCACCACGGATAGGCGAACTGTCAAAATGTGAAAGTAATGACGAATTCGATTGGATGCACTAGTGCGCACTAGTGTGGACTGAGTGCGCCTTCTCTCATAGCGTATTTCACTGATTGCACTGGTGCGCACTCAGTGCACATTAAGGCTGTTGTACACTATTCTAATCTAAATATAAAAGTGAGATATTTCAATTGATAAAATGCCCAAAATTTATTTTATCAATAGCACAATAAAATGTATCGAATATTTCACGGTTTAATTCGTTTGTATATTTTTATTAAACGTATATCTTTACGTCGATTTTTGTATAACGGCGTTGAAGTGCACTGAGTGCGCACTAGTTCTGCCAATGAAACATGCTATTAGGACCGAGTTTTTGCATTATAGTGCAAAAACTCGGCACGAGCTCCAAGAGACGGTGTCGATCCAGTGCAATATGGAAGCGGGGCATATTGATGCCAGTTTCGAAACTCGATTAGCACTTCAGCTGCTAGATGTGCTGTCCTCATCATCATCCAGTAGTGACGAAGATGAATTGTGGAATGAAAATAAACGAAAAATTCCAAAAATAAAAAACTTTATTGACGTGATACTTACGGATAAAGAGGTTAATAGCGTTTTTTATTGATAGAACTAGTGCGCACTCAGTGCACTTTAAAGACATTATACAAAAATCGACGTGAAGATATACGTTTAATAAAAATATGTAAACGAATTAAGCCGTGAAATATTCGATACATTTTATTGTGCTATTGATAAAATAAATTTTGGGCATTTTATCAATTGAGATATCTCACTTTTATATTTTTAAGATTAGAATAGTGTACAACAGCCTTAATGTGCACTGAGTGCGCACCAGTGTAACCAGTGAAATACGCTATCAGTTTTAGCGTGTTCGATTGAGGTTATCCTCTATTGGTGCATCTGCCACTTGTGTTTGATTCATAACTGCACTAGATTAGTGTCAATACAAATGGGTTCGATTGGGTAACTCTGCCACAGTGTAGTGAATTCTTTATGTTCGATTGAGCTAGTTTCTCTGTCATAGGACGCACTCGAATGCACTGAGGGCTTTTGACGGTGCATTTCAGTGCAAAGAGGTTACTATGGCAGAAAAAATATTTGTCGTATTAAACGAATTACTGGACACATCCAGTAGCAGTAGTGACAGCGAAATATTAAAACTAGAAAAGACGAAAATTAATAAAGTAAAAAATATGGTGGAAATTATAAATAGTTATAGTGATAAAGAAGTGAATCACACGTTATAAAAGTTATTATAAAAATTGATAAAAATTATTATTATTATAGTAATTGATAATTATAAAATTCCAAATTAACACAAATTTATAATGTACGTGATATTTGTATAATTAAAACTATATATTATAACCTAATTAATATATTTATTATAGTTTCAGCGACACTTTCGTCTAAAGAGAGAAACATTTAATAAATTACAATTATTATATGAAAATTCAGAAATTTTTAAACAATTAACAATTTCATGTAAGATATATCGGTATTTAAGTAAAAATAAAAATACATATAATTCATTAATATAACTTACCGTTTCGTAATCGAATTCGCAAACAATATCATTTTTGTAGCCGAACTCTTTGCTCTGAAGTGAAGCCAATCGAATTGGTTAGCACTGAGAGCAGTGTATTGATTAGCATTGGCTGTTTTCCAGCTAGGACACAGAGACGTTACACTGTGTTCCACTGTGTAAAGTCTTGTTGGAACGCTTAGAACTCTAGATTTAGTTTCTAAGAGAACCGCCAGAGTGGGTTTGATTTCTCTATTTTACTTGTTAGTCATCTATATTAACTTTTAGCGGTAATGTGGCCGTTACAGATTTCCTAACCTCTATAGTCGTTAACTTTAACGCTTAATATCTCGGTTCGCGGGGCCGTCCCAACGTTTTTTCTTACAGATTCTTTCATTTTGTGCAAAAACGCGTCGAATGAGTCTAATTTCATCGAAATCGGAGGTGAGGACCGTATTCTGAATAATTACCTTATAAATTTATGATTAATTATCCTTTTTCTCTTCTATTATACTATACGTACAACCGGTACAATTAGGTTATATTCATGCTAGAAACATCGACATCTAAGGTTTGTTCGCGTCGCACGCTCCAATATGCTCCTGTTCATTCCAACGTGCTCCAATACGTTCGCGTCACCGGAACCAATATGGCGATTAGATGTTCGCGTCACATTAGAGCATACTCCATGAATCAATTAAGAGCATGCTCTATTTGCTTCACCTCAGAAGGTGGTGCGGTTGGGACATGTTACGCACGCATGCGTAATGATTGAGAATGTGTAGTATTGAGAGAAGTATTTCATGGTTCTTACAGATATTAACCTATGTTCTGTAGTCAACTTTAACGAGAGTGGATCTCAATTTAATGATTAATCTCGGTCCATGAGGCAGAGCGACGCTTTTTTTCTGGAGGACGTTTGTTCCAACTTCTCCTAAATCCGTTCGTGTCACCAAGCGTTGGGGCACATGAATCCAACTGCTCCAACCGCCATCCTACCGGTGATCCAAGTGCTCTCTGGGTTAATTTGAAGTAAGCGACGCGAACAAACCTCTAGAATGGACCGCTGATGGCAATGGTGGAGGTAGAAAGACGATTAGAATGAGAGGCAGGAATAATAAGATCGTTCTTTCTCTGTTTACTG